AGGGGAGAAACGGCACATGTCATCCTCTGCACAGAGGGACGAGCAAAGGTGCAAGTGCGGGCAACGATTAAGCAGGATTTTCTAAATCTCGATATCCAATGAGATAAATGTATGATTTAACTTTCTTCATTTCCTCATGTCATCCACCGAGCATCTTTTCAATAGATTTTCTCGTTTTTCCCGAGGTCATCTTCCTCCGTTCAAAGATGCTAGCGCAAACTTTTGACCTACTTTCTTAGGAGAATCATTTTCATGATGCTTCCAAACACTTCCGTTTGGGTTTATAGTCAGAGTACTTCTTCTGGGCAGATGAGCTTTAATCTTAAAAGAAGCCTGGTCGACAGATCTACGTTAGGCAACCGTTTAAAGTTCAGGCCATGCTGCTACTGCAAAAGTTCAGAAATACGCAACACTGTGTCGTAGTTCATCCTGCCCTGTGATCACGTACTTCAGTCGTCGCTGGTGCCTCATTAATGGAAATCCGAGGATAGACTACTTCAAGCGCCGCAGAGGTGTATCCGGTAGAAACACATTGCCTGAAAGTTACATGGTTGTTGAACCTTAGACCAATCACGATGACTTTTGGGAAGTTAGCCGACGCCAAACACAAAAACTGGCTGAACATCTCGAAGTGTCGCACACTGCAAGCGTTTGCAAGTCATTGGCCCGAGATTCGTTTTCTGGTTGATTGAACTAGCACAGGGTGAAGTGAATTCGTCGTTGAAGGAATTTATAGCTGTTTATGCCGCTCTCAGGAACTGTATCTGGTATCCCTCTTATGTTGGATTGAAGCTTGAAGCTGCAAGACTGTCCTTTCGTTTTAAAGTTTGCTTTAAAGTATGGTGTAAAGTAAAGAAGTCTGTTTTAATCTACAGTCTACGAGTGGAGATTTTAAACTAAACATCAGAAATACGGTGTGCAATAAATGTCACACAACACCTGTGATTATGGGAAAGTACAGATTTGAGATCAGTGTTTAACAATCTGTCCCAGCGGATGACGCGACTTAAATGTATAAGTTTGATCAACGTTTCTTCACTAAATTTTAAAGATCTGGACCATGCAAACGGTGTAAAGTTGCTATCCCCTAAATTATTTCATATTAAACTTCACAATCGTCTTTTTCAAACGCCCTTACTCTTAGTCCATGAGGTCAACGTCAGAAGGAACTGGTTTTATTATGGTTTCTCTAGAGATTTATACGAACGTACAGAAAATATCCTTGCACCAGGGTTTTATTCAGAATGTCTTTCAGTCTATGCATAATACTGCAATTGATATGCATATTGCATAAAGTTTCAATTTCTCACATTAAACCGCGTCAGTCGGACATCTACTGAACAAGAGCGACAGGCAACGCATGCGTCATTCAAACAATATAGTTTTAACCCTAAATTAACATATTTATATTGTGCTACTCATGCTGCATTAAACTACAATGAAAACTTACTATCACTTCTGCAATATACTGGACTATCAAACAAAAATAAGAGACATCACTGTCAAATTCTCAAAGCATCTGCAATCGAAACTTATTTTTTTGCGGACTCTCAGGGCTGTTCATACGACTTATGGACAATATCGAAAACAGTTACAGTATTAAAAAATAAATCAGTGCAATTAAATAACACAGAATCTGCCATGGCGTTCAAAATAGCCAATGGTTGAGACCTGATGCATCTAAAGACGCTAGGGTGGGCGGTGATAAAAAAGAACCAGCCAATGGTTTTTCAAACATGAAAAGAATGAAGTTCGCCGAACTGTATTAGTGACAGACTATTGGCGATGAAGCGAAGAAAGTGATAGCTTCAGCCAAAAGCAGCGTTCGAGAATGTTGCATTAATTAGTCACATTGACAGATTTAACTGTTAACAAATTTGTATGCCTCTCTATTTTTTTAGAATAACATAACGGCGCCTAGTGCTCTCTGTAGATCTAACCACATGCTCAGTTCCCAGAAGGTGAACATTAACTATGATAAAGGATCGCGTGCTATGGCGAAGTACAGAGAAATGCGTTTTGATTGACAATTACAGTAATCGTATAGGCTGCTCATGAATCCTGAGTCTATCGACTAACGGGGCAGTGGCATCATTAGGTAATTCCAGACCTCATCATCAATGGATATGTGCAAAATAAGGCTAATCCATTAGGTTAATTAATTAGGTCAATAAGACCACAATTTCTCTGTGATCTGAAAGGAGAAGCGGCAATG